AATGAAATTTTCTAATGAAAGCAATATATTCGTGGAAATTTTTAGTAGAATACCTTACCGTTGAGTTTTTCATTGCAGTATAGCAATTTTTTGTAGTCCTCTCCAACATTATTTTCTATGTAGTATTTATTGAGTAATTGTGTTTACAATTTTTCTATTAAAAATATATTAAACACGTGAACCTTTTAGTTCCTATAATTTTTTTTTCAGAAATCACTCATTATTTTATCTCAAGATTACCAATTGAGTTACATTTCTTACATATTAAATATTATATAATTAAAATAATTCTTGTTTTATATGTTCAATATGATACTTATATATTATATTAAAAAAACTAATATAGTAAATGAAAAAGTTATTTAGAATTAGAATAATAAAGATTTTTTTTTTTCTAATCTACATGGATAAATGTACAAATTATTATTGTCTTATCACCTCAAATTAACACATAGAATTAATAAGAACAAAAAATTAACAAGCGTTTAACAACTCAGTTCAATTACATCGATAAGTATATTTTTAGAAGGTTTATATTTAGTTATATTAATTATATTATTTTTGTTTATTAGTTTGTTTTATATTTATTAGTACGTGTCACAACTTAGTTATTATTTATATTATTTCTTATATTTCATATTTTTTAAACCTTTATCTTTTTCTTTCACATGTTCTTAACTGTAGATTTGTCAAAAAAGACATAATATAAAGTATAGAATTTTTTCGATCATCTGTCTCATTATATATCAAATATTTGTATATCCTATATTATATTATTTTTTATTACAATTTTTTAATTAATATTTTAATTAAATATTTACAATTCATAAATTCATTAATAATATTGTCGAGTCAACTTTTGTTCATAAAATTTTTAACAAATATATTATTTTCATTGATTTGCTTATGTTGAATTGAGAAAAGTTATGCTTTTTTTTAATTGTAACTGTATTGATGTGTTAAACATGTATTACAGATGAGAAAGATGACAAATTATGAAAAATATAATTTATAAATTATAATGACATTATGTTATTTTAATGGTATACTTTTTGTATTAACCAAAATAATGCCTCAAGTATGAAATTATTTTGTATCCACCACTGAGGTAGATTTCGAATCGAACTTCCATTGAAATTTTTACAATTCTAGTGACATTTTTCCAACTGTTGAAATATGCCCGAAATTTTTTTTAACAAAAATTCATGCAATAATAAATAATGATAATTGAAATAATTATATTACACAAGAATAAATAATGTAATTTGATCTCTGTTGAAATAGTCAATGCAATTTTACAATGACAGATATACAAATAAAATATCATTTAGAAATTCCAGTTAATGTCTTACCGTGATGTCTTTGGAAAAAAAAAGTTAATGTCTTACCATTGGATTTTTCATTGCAATGTACCATTTTTTATTCCTTTATATATTATAATTTTTATTAGGAGTTTTTGTTATTAATTAATTGTATTTATAATTTTTAAATTAAAAATATATTAAACAAGTGAACTTGGTAATCCATATAATTTTTGTAGAAATTGCTCATTATTTTATCGCAAAATTACCTATTAATTTATCTATTGAATTAAGTTTCTTGCACTTACATATTACATAACGAAAAGTATTATTGTATATATATAAAATATGCCATTAATATATTATATTAAAAAACTAATAGTAAATAAAACGTTATTTAAAATAAAAATAATTAATTTTCTAAGAAAAATAAATTTCTAACCTTCATGGATAAAAGTATAAATAACTGATGTCTATCATCTAAAATTTATATACAGAACTAATAAGCGCAAAAAATTACACAAATTTTAAAAGTTCTATAATTACTTTTACTAATTATAATTTTTTTATTTATTACTTTTTTTTCATAGTTATTAGTAAGTGTTACAACTTTATTATAAATTTAATATTATTTATCAGATTTAATAATTTTTTACTTTATATTGTTCTTTCATATGTTTTTAATGTGCGTGTGTGTTTGTGGGTAACTTTTTGGTTTGTTCAAAAACATATAAAATTAAGTATAACACTTTTTAGGTTACATGTCTTATTTATGTCAATTAATTTTATATTTTTATATTATTTTATATGTTATCATCCGGATCGGTAAACATACGTTAAGAGATTCCAAACGTCTCATTAAGAAGAAGATGATCATTGAACCGACGTGATTTACTCCACCCCGGCTCAGGCGACGAACCGGACCGAACTACCGAAGACCGAAGTGGTCAGCATCTACCGAGGTCAACATAAACCAAGATCGTCGCCTCCTTAAGCAGGTGACAAGGTGCCTACGTACAACCATCCTACTCCACAAGA